GAGCGCTTAGGAACCACATGACTGACCGAGATGGTCTCCTCCTTAACCCCATCAACACTAGCAATCAAGGCCTCCACATGGGCCGCTGCCTCAACTAAAGTATAGTAATCCTTCCACAAGGATCCAGCTACCTTTTCCCGAATATCAGAACACAACCGCTTTTCAAACTCTAAACAACGACGCTCCTCTGTTGTCACCAACTCTGGAGCAAACCTCGACAAACTATCAAACCGCATCTCAAACTGTGCCACAGGAGTGTCATCCTGATGCAACTCCAAAAACTGATCCCTTAACCTTTCCCGAGCAGAAGGAGGGAAATACTTGGCCCAAAAGGCCTCGGTAAAAGAAACCCATGTGCTACCCACATTATTCTTAGCATTCTTCCACCAATAACTCACATTACTCTTCAACTGAAAAGTCGCCAAAGAAACCCTCAACTCCTCATCTTCGACTCTGAGCATATCAAGAGTCTTGGTAATCTGTTCCAACCAACTCTCTGCCTCCAACGGTTTAGCCTCCTCCACAAACTCAGGTGGACCGGAGCGAAAGAACTCCTTAGTAAGCTTGAGAGCATGCCCGCTGCCGCCCTCAGTACGAGCTAGGGCGTCTTGCACTGCTCTCACAATCTCACGTGCGACATCCTCACCGACAGCCGATGCTGCAACGGCAGGTACTAAAGGAACTGCTGTGCCTCTCCTGGCGTTCCTACTACTCAACCGTCCTCTACTCCCTCGTGTAGACATCCTATAAAGCACAAAGTAAATTACACGTAGCGCAAAACACTATAGCTTTCTTCGAGGCACACTCCACTACTGTTAAGTCACAAGACACACTTAGTCTCAAAATTTACATCTCTACTGCATATTATCATCTAAACATGTAAACACATAATCGAATCAAGTCCACAAAGATAGCCACTCATCCCGGAACTCTCAAGGAATTCCTATCAGAAACCACGTTGATCAGGCGTGTTTCCAAAAGGACCTCAAAGCAAGTTCACCGGCCATGAATACTATCCAGGAGACTGAATCCCATGCTCACATAAATACAACACATAAGTCCTAATTCTCATGGTATCTATATGCAACGTCCTCACTACACGTAGTAAACCCACTGTGGTAAAAACCACTTCCCACGAGCTCAAGGTATTCAAACGCGGCAGCTCTGATACCAAGTTGTCACGCCCCACTTTTTATTACTCGAAGCCATTACCAAATTCATTAACTTAATTCAATTTCAGAGATAACATGCGGAAATAAACTTATACATTCAAACCGTAGAATGAATATAAATACTCTCATTCGTATGCAAAGTAAATGTTACATGAACATACTCAATAAATTGCCCTTGGGCTTACAACCTTTAAATAAACAAATGAAGGGGTGTAACCCTTTACACATATGGTGTTCCACCAACAACAAAGAGGCCCCGTGGCCAACAAATAAGAAGATCCAAATCCTGTAGCACAACCTGCTAAACACCTGAAAAAAATTCAACAACGTGGGATGAACATAAAGTCCAGTAGGGATCTCAACATGATCCTCAACAATAACAACTTACAGATAGCTATGATCATGCACACTCATTCTCCTACTAGAATAGTAATATGACAGTTTATACAAAATATATATATATAAACTTTTCTTGAAAACAACCGTTTCATTCAACGCTATAAGCGATTCATCTTTCCTTATTCCTTTCATTAATCCGCATTCCCATTCTTTCATAACATTAACAATTACTTAGGAAAATAATCTCACTAAGCCCGATACTCTCTTCCACTTCCTATACATACACAGATGTACCTTTTCAAAACATGTTTATCGTTAAAACATTCATTCTTCTTCACACTTTCCAAAAGACAAACAAAGACATTTTGGTTCACTTCCACTACTATCATACCTATACATGCATAACCTTGTAAAAATATAAATTTACAAGCCACCCACATGTATACAATCAATCAATGGAGTAACTCGGTTCTCCGAACTGGAACCAATCAAATCTATGATATTTTTAGTTACAACTAAACAACAACAATTCCACCCTGCTCAACTAGCTATGCGCTTAGTAAGCCAAATATATACTGAAATAACTACAACCAACTTCGCTCTACTAGCTATGTGCGTAGTAAGCCAAAATACCAGTTTACCAGGCGCTAGCTGGAAGGGTATGGTGCCTTCTATTATTAGCGCATACAGTTCTCCAGGCGCTAGCTGGAAGGTAACGGTACCTTTGATTATAAGCGCGGCATATAACGCCAACAGCAACCATGCAACAAGGCATATCCAACATGTATAATGCATATACATAACCAACAAAAATCTAACAACGAGTTAAAGTAGATAAACACATAGGTGTAATGTATACACAACAATTCAACACAACCATGTCATCCTCCACCGATGACTAAGGACAAAACCTCTAGATGCCTGTATATTGTACATCTATTAACAGACTCAAATATCATGAGATCATCAACTTATCACTAATACTAACATAGTAGTATAAGATACAACAATCCAACATTCATACTCTTTTCAAAGTACCTTTCCCATTTCACGAAACCAACTCTCTTTATTTTTCAAAACCGGTTTTATTTCTTTTGTTTTTCACAAAAACAAATCCAAGGACAATAAAGCTAAAGCTCATTTTAATCTACTACATTCATCTCCAAGTCATTCCAATTTAATTATACAAATTAAATCATAATCATTAAAATAGGATTTCCCTCCCCTTTTCCTAATATTTATGAAAAGGTTCAATCAACAATCAACAACAACAACAATGGCTTCATTTCAAACCCAAAATACCCAAGTATTTACCCAATGATCAAAACCCCTCTATTGAGTTATTAAACCAAATAAATATTAGGGTTTCCTCTCCTTACAACAACAATATGCTAATTAACACCCAATTAGCCCCAAAACACATCTAATGATAATAGATCTAAATCCAACAACTAACCCAAAGTTCAACCTCATGAATTTATACAAAAATCCAACATAAAATGGTTTTCATGCAATACAAAAATTACCACATGTCTATCTATAGACGTAGTGTTGAAAAAGAACAAGGAGAATCCCTACCTCAAAGGAGAACTCAAAAGGAGATGATGACCCGAAATCAAAGTGCTCCAAATCCACAATTTTTCTAATTAAGACGAAGCCCTCGACACCCTCTACCTTTTTAACAAAGGACCTAGGATGGATTCAAACTAGAAGGAGATGAAATCTAGAAAGATAATAAGTTTAGAGAGAGAGACTCTCGGCTGTTAGGGTTTCAAGAATGAAAGAGGGAGAAAAATGATCTTTTTCCCCGCTGCTGCCTACTGAAATACGATAGACTCGCTCGAGCGAAGACCTGGTCGCTCGAGCGACCAGACACAGAAAACTCACACGCGGCAAACAAACTAGAAGCTCGCTCGAGCGACAAAAATCTAGCTCGAGCGAAGAATTCCAGTGTTCAGGTCCTAGTACCAGACGCAAAGCTCGCTCGAGCGAAGCCACCCTGGCTCGACCCACCAGACACAAAACTCCACGCTCGCTCGAGCGACAAACATCTCGCTCGAGCGAAGGACTAAAAACCTGGGCAGCAACCACCTGCTCCCAAACACACCCAACCTGAAACGAACAAGTCCAAAACATTCTATAACTCAAATTTAAAGAATTGAAGGACAGAAACAAGTTCAAAACAACAACCGGAATCCACGGAACTAAGTCCGGATACTACAACCAAAGGAGAAAGAACCGGGATCGCTATATAGCATGTGGGTGGTAGAATAAACGGTGTGGACGCAAAAAAGAAACTCAATCTCACAAAAAGGGAAAGTTATTCAATGGATTTGGCATATTGGGGTGTCAGTCACAATTTATTACTTGTTCCGTTTTAAAATATTAATCTTTTATTTAATTTTTTTTTATTATCTAAAATATTAGTCTCTTTTAAAAATTAAGGGATAAAATAATATAAATTTCTTATTTTGTCATTCTTTTAAATTTATACATAAAAAGTACAATTATAACAACTAATTTTTTCAAAAAAAGTCAAAAGGTAGTTTTAGAAAGTTAATATATTTTTCAAGTGTAATAAATGCATTACCTAAAACAATTGAATTTCTCAAAAGACGCTATTATTTTGATATAGATAAAATAAAAGAGATAATTATAACTTATTTTGATTTTAGAATTTGTGTCAGATTATTTGATACAAGTTATGATTCTAGTTTTTATTTATTTATTTAGAATGCTTGCTTATAGTTTATTAGGTAAAAATAATTTAAATAAGTTAATTATTTAGAAATTAGAGAAGTATTTTTAATTTTTATTTTTAATCATGAATAATTTACACAAAACAGGGCCATTACATCGGCAACGTGTCGGATTAATTTGAATGATATATAGAAGAAAAAATGTCACAATAGAGATGTGTGATTAATTCAAAAAAGAACTACTATTTTTTAAAATTTCATTGGTTGAAGAAGTGGTGTACCGGACATACGGAATAATTTCTGCACAAAAGGGCCCAGGTGGGGGGTTTCTAGCAAATATTTTTGTTTTTGGGTTTTAGAAAAAGTACGGGTGTGGGGTCAAAGAGCAGTTTCCAGAAATAAAGGGGCCTGGATTTGTATGTAAGTTGGAGCTACAAATGGCAACACATTTTTAGTATTGTTAGGGATGATGAAAAAAAAAAAAATCATGAAATGTATTATGAAAGTTTTTCATCCTTTGATTTGTGTGTAGTGTTTTATTGTATGTATAATCTAAAGATAGAAAATTTTTCATGATTATATTCATAATATTTTTTTCATAATTCCTATCATTACTCTACATTTTACATTTGGCCATTCTCGGTTAAGAGAACACACTCTCTCTCTCTCTCCATCTATAAAAACTCCCCCTTTCGTTGCTCTCAGTCACTGCATTAGAAACAATCAACTCATTTGGAAACTAATCCAAAACTCTCTGTGTCTCTCAGGGAAACGCTAAAAATCAAGCAGGAGAACATTGTAGTGATTGATGATGACATACCTGGTGGTGGTGGTGGAGGTTTAATTGAGGAGGAGGAGGAGGAGACAGTGAAAGTTGTGGAAGTCAAAGAAGAAGCAGTGGTATTGGTTGATGATGATTGTGTAAGTGGTGAAGGAGTAGTACTAGTAGGAGGAGGAGGAGGTGGTGATTCCATGCCATGTTCACCACCAATCTCATCAGCCCCAAAACCCATGGAGGGATTGCATGAAACAGGACCATCTCCATTTCTGAAGAAGACCTTTCACATGGTGGAAGACCCAGATACTGACATCATCATTTCATGGACTGCCTCTCAAAAAAGCTTTGTAGTCTGGGATCATCGCCAGTTCTCTACCAATCTCTTGCCCAAATACTTCAAGCACAACAATTTCTCAAGCGTTATTTGCCAACTTTACACTTATGTAAGTACTCTATATTCTTCCAATCCAATCTCTTCTCGTTCAAAAAAAAAAAAAAAAACTCTTCTCTTCTGTGCTATTATGATCTATTTATGAAATTTGAGTGTTTATCTTCTAAATTTGCGGTTTATTCTTTGTGGGTTTTGTTGCTATAGCTATTTCTAAAGGTCTCTGTTTGGTTCATGGCTAATTGAACCTTTTCTTTTTTATTTTTCAAATTTTATTTGTTGAATTTGTGTATTTATTGAAGGGTATATTACACCATGGTTCCTCAAAGAAATTTGTTTTCCTCACACTATTGCAACGTAGTCCCAGTGTTGGTAACATTTTGAAAAGAAAAAAAAAACAAAAACAAAAATGTCTTACCACTAGTGGGATGACCCCCACCTTTTGATTGGTTCAAAATTTATTTATTTATTTATTTATTTTTAGTCTTACTCTCACCGCCCCACGTGGAGGTGGGGGTGTTGGGGTCCCCAACACTGTCGAAATTTTTTTTGTGTAAAACTAGATAGTTTCTTTTAAATTCCAGTTTGGTGGTTCTAATTTTAACGCATGATCTTTTATTATTTTAATGGTAAAAGTGACGGAGGGAATTATAATGGTAATTGACGGAGGATCATATTTTAATAAAATATTAAAATTGAAAGTGCAGATTGAGATTGAAATTACAAAATTACGGGACTAAAGTACCAATTCACTTATATGTGCAATTTATTGTTTCTGTGATTTCCTGCTAATTGCTAATTATATGTGTTTTTAAATTTAAAATTTCTTTTGGTATAAAGGGTTTTAAGAAGATTGATTCAAACAGATGGGAATTTGCCAATGAAGCGTTTCAAGAAGGGAAAAAACATTTGTTCAAAAACATTATATGTGCAATTTATTGTTTGTGTGATTTCCTGCTTACACTCACTTATATGTGCAATTTATTGTTTGTGTGATTTCCTGCTTACACTCACTTATATGTGCAATTTATTGTTTGTCTCAATTCAGCCAATTTCGGAATCGAGACTGAGCTTGAAAAACTAAGGAATGATAGGATGAAAATGAAAATGGAAATCATGAAACTGAAACAACAACAAGAGAATACAGAGAGTTACTTGGCCGTGGTTAAGGAGCGAATAGGATACACCGAGTGTAACCAACAAGATATACTGATATTCATGGCCAAAGCATTCTCGAACCCGGCCTTTTTCCATCAATTCATCCATCTTATGGGGCCGAAAAAACATTCGGAAGTGGAAAGACTATTCTCCGCTTCGTTGGACGAAAAAAGTAGTCCGAGTCAGGACCAAAAGATTAATGCGGCTCCTGGACCGATGAGTCCGGATTTGAGCTCTGATAATTATATCTTGTGGGAGAAACTATTGGAGGATGGATTGATTTGTGAGAATGGATCAGCTCAAGTTGAAGCAGAGTTGGTTCAACACCAATCCAAGATTGTTCTCCAATTGGAGAATTTGATAGCCAAGCCACCAGATTGGGCTTCTTATGTGAAGGACTTGGGGGAGCAAGTGAGCTGTCTTGAATCAAAGTAGTAATGTCAATGGTATGATCTTCTTCTTTTCCATTCTTCTATTTCAAGATGTTTTCTTGTCATTTTTGTTACATAGAGTATATTTGACACTTTTAACTCTTCCAATTTGACCAACTATTGTTTCAAATTGAACAATTTAGCCAGTATTCTTTGAAGTCTAATTTTAATTTGGTCTTTTTGTTCAAATTAGACATTAAAATTAATGATTTTTTTTTGATATTTGTCAGCCTCTTGAGACGTAAACATGCACAAAATTAACAGGAATTTAGATGAAGTAACAAAATTGAAACTGGAGTTTTAAGTATAAGGGTCGAATCTTAAATTAAAATACTAAAAATCAAAAGTAAAATTTCAGTCAAATTAAAGGGCTGAAAAATTTAATTTACTCTTAAATTACAAGTCACTAGCCTCTTGACAGACGCAAATAGGTGTGCTAGTAATAATGTATGTGTTACTCTCAAAAAAGAGATGAAATTTTTAGAAATCACCTTTGAATTTGAAAATTGTGAGCAATTTCACAACATAACCCTTTAAAAAATATGGAAGAATTCATTTAAATGCTATATAAAAATCACTTTATGGACAATCTTGGAAAAGAAAAAAAAACATTGCTCAACTTTACTTTTGGGCTGCTTCTTTTACAATATAGTATAGATGTTTACATATCTCATTTTGTTTGGTATGACAGTGCTGCATTTACAGGGCTTCTTTTTCTACAACAAGCAGAGTGGAGAGTGGGAGGTGTAGAATGGATCCTCTAGATTGACCTTTGTTTTTCTTTGGCAAAGAAGTCACACTAGTGAATTATCAAAGGAGGTGTTTCTATCTCTTTTGTTGCCACCAATGTTCTATTCTCACTATGGTGTTTTTTTTTTTTTTTAAACTTGTGAATATAGGATTTGCTCTTCCGGCCATGTACAAATTAGTGTTGCTATGCAAGCTATGACGCATGTTCTTAACTTGTTACTTTTTACGACAAATATATAGATGTAAATATGCATATATATTAGGTTCAATTCATGATTTTTGAAGTCACAATGTGGTTGAATTCTTTACATTTCTGTTATAACATAGTATTTACTTGCTAATTTTGGTCCTAACTAGAGGAACAAGATAGACATGGATGGATGGTTTACTCATGTAAACTACTAAAAAAGAGAGGATTTCTTTTTTTCCCTTTTTTATTTTTATTTTTATTTTATTTTTATACAAAAATATTAAATAAAACTCTAGACTCCTGTGGGTTTTCTCAAATTCCACCAGATCATTGTTTTAAGGCTTTGGCAGCCTACCTGACATGAATATTGAGCATGTGAGATGTTACTTGCCAAAATAATAATAACAAATCACCTCGATAATAATAACAAATCACCTCATGATTTTTAATGAAAAAGCAGCAAATTATATATAATTAATCTTTTATCAATATTCTGTTATTGTATAAAATATGACATATATTTATAAATTTTAAATTCTAAATTTATAATAAATGACATGTATAAATAAATTGGAATAAAAGGAAGTATAAATAAGTTTATACTTGTGGTTTTTTTTTTAAGGTCCCTGATATTAAGGTTGTATAGCATAAAGGACATTCAATATTTTTATAATGTCTAAGGTTCCTCAACAATATTTTCATAATGCCTAAGGTCCCTCAACCTTGATCCGGAGAAATTTCAGTCCAGAGAAAATTGGTCCAGAGAAATTTCAGACGAAATTTCTCTGGAAAGTCTAATTATTCTCAGAATTTCTCTGGCCTAATTCTTCCTAGAATTTCTCAGCATTTCTCTAATGCATTGGTTGAGTCCAGAGAAATTTTGAATTTCTCTGGTCCAAGATCCGGAGAAATTTCAGTCCAGAGAAAATTGGTCCAGAGAAATTTCAGACGAAATTTCTCTGGAAAGTCTAATTATTCTCAGAATTTCTCTGGCCCAATTCTTCCTAGAATTTCTCAGCATTTCTCTAATGCATTGGTTGAGTCCAGAGAAATTCAAAATTTCTTTGGTCCAATTCTTCTCAGATTTTTCTGGCCCAATCCTTCCTAGAATTTCTCTGATGCATTGACTGACTGGAGAAGTGGTTGATGGAGAAAATTCAATCCAGAGAATTTCTCTCCGGAAAAATTTCTGAAAATTTCTCTGGATTTCGAAATTTCTCTCCAGAGAATTCTCTGGATTGTCTGTCTGTGTTTTAACCAAATTTCTCTGGATTTCAGAATTTCTCTCCAGAGAAATTATTATACCAAGGCTTCTAGATCTCAACAGTTACATCCAAGGCTTTAACTTACATCTGGAGAAATGGTCTTTAACTTACATGACTGATAACTTACATTCTCTGTAGTATCATGACTGGATTTCTCTCCAAATGGTCTTTAACTTACATCCAAGGCTTCTAGATCTCAACAGTTGAACCAAAAGGTACAGAGAAGAAAAAAAGCATCTAAGATCAAGGCTCTACCATAAATATATATATATATATATAATAGAAATTTCGAATAAACAACAACGAAGAGAGAGAGAAAGAGAGAGAGAGAGAGACCTGGTGAGAGATAACGTAACAGTGGAAAGAGAAGTGAGATCGGGAGCGGAAGGAGGAGACTGACACCGGCGGTGGCGATCTATCTTCTTGAGTAGATTTTAGAGCTTCATCGATGCAAACTTTTATCTGCAGAGTTCCAAACTAGGTTGGAGGAAGATAAAGAGGTAACTTTGTTTATAAACCACTCAGAAACCTCTCGCCAACGAAGCCAACTCCGTTCCCCAGGGCCACGAAAATGTCACTACTTTGATTGATTTCTTCCAAGGAGACGGTAGGTGTAATATAAGGGTACGGGGTGAGGGACCTTAGACTACAACAGAATAGATTGTGGACCTAATCCATTACTAAAAGTTGGATAGGGACCTTAGACCGATTTTCCCTTTATACTTTAGGGAGATTGACCAATAAATCTTATATTTTAGACTTGTAATCTATATGTTTTTATATTTTTTCTTATGATCCATTTAGTCATTTTTCATTTGTCTACTACATTAAAGTGTTATATTTAGAAAAAGTACATTAAAGAGTTGTTTAGTGTTATATCATATTTGACACGTTAGAGTGTCACATTTGAAAAAAGTACATTAAATTTTTTTAGATGTCACATCAAACTTGTCACATTGGAGTGTCACATGTTACATTTGGGAAAAATATATTAAGAAGTTTTAAATTTGTTTTAGAGTGTCACATTAGACCCGCTACATTGTATACTAAGAAGTTTTTATTTTTTTAAGTGTCACATCATACTTATCACGTTGTCACGTTTGAGAAAGTACATTAAGGAGTTTTTATTTTTTTTGAAGTGTCATATCATATCTGCCACGTTGTCACGCTTGAGAAAATTACACTAAGGAGTTTTTATTATTGAAGTGTCACATCATATCTGTCACGTTGTCACATTTGAAAAAGTACACTAAGGAGGAAATTTTTTTTTTTCTGAGTAAAAGTTTGGAGTGTCATATCATACCCATCACGTTGTCACATTTAGAAAAAGTATACTAAGGAGTTTTTAATTTTTTTAGAGTGTCACATCATTAGAGCGTCATATTAATACCTACCACATTGGAGTATCATATCATACCTGCCACATTAATAAAAAGGTATAACTGTCTACCAAAATACTACCAAAATAAAAAATAAGACCACACGGAAAGAAACTCTCCACTAATAGGACTTAATAGATCAATAGAAAAAACTTGAGACTAATTGGAGTATTTGTTTGTGAGATAGGATTTATTGGTAAATGTCCTTATATTTTAATGACTATATCTTTCTAAGTCAATGTTTGGGTATAACAAAAGTAAGTTAAACTCAATACATTGAAAATCTAAGGCCTGTACAAAAATAATTACACAGAAGAAACAAAAAGAAGCTCTCGACTCCTAGTCCTTCTAAGGTACATTCTTAGTGAAGGCATATCATCAGCACCTGGAATTTATTTTTCGCGTAGAGTGAGCTAAAATCCAATAAAAGTACTTTAACACAACATATGAAGATTAACAAAGTCATATGATGAATGTATATGCATGTCCTTTGCCAAATAGTATACTTTTTCTTTCAAAAGAATGCAATGTCTCAGTTGTGTGTATATCAATTCATAAAACAATACTTTTTAAATTAGAAAACAAGACAGTGGATACAAAACACTAGGAATCTCTAGGTACATGTCTACCAGTAGGCTACACAAACACTACCAAAGTTATTTTACCAGTACTAATCAGAAGGATTAGCACCTCACTGCGTAAGTTTTTAGACTTTTACTAAGGAGACACAGGCCAACAATATAAACCACAACTACACTCCCTAACTAGATTCACCAAGATATACACCTATTTTCTCAAAACAATATATTTTCAATGTTTAAGTATGAAACAATGCTCAACGCAAAATTTATGAGTAATTAGTTTCAATGAACCTAATCCTCATGTAATTTGTACAACTATCAAAGTTATTCTCTATCGATAGCCCAAAACAGATATCTCTACTCAATTGATAAATTTTCAACAACAGATATAATTTCATAAATTTCAAAATGGAAGTCATAATATATATATCCAACTCCACTTGTCATCAACAGATACATTCATCTTATATTTTTAAACCCAACATCTTTTCCTTTTCTTTCATAAATCAAACATCAATGATTTTCCAATAAAACATCTTTTACTTTCAAAAGCACATTTAAGAAAGGAATATCTAACATTTCAATACAACTCAACAATATTCACAGTCCCACAACATTTCTCAAGAACCCATATGAAAATTCTTTTTTTTGCATTTTAAAAATCAAACCCTAAATGAAAACCTCCATCTCCCAAATCTCAATCCTTGACGAGAAGCACATAACGAAGTTAAGAATCATACTAGAACGGTTAAGAAATCCCTACCTCAAGTTTAGAAGAAGAAGAGAGCAAGCTTTAACTTGAGACGAAGTCAAAATGAAAGTTTTCACCGATTAAAATG